CTCAAAAACCGCAATTTTTCAAATAAAAGTGCCCTCTCCGGTGCACGTGGCGCGTGCTATCCTCTGCATTGCACACCATTCAATAGCCCGTTCAATTCTGTACACGATGCTGTTTTCCCCGTGCCGGTCGGATCCCTGGTCACCAAGATATTGCACGGGAACTGGACCCGTGTCGGCCAAAATTAGCCATTTTCGCCCGATTTCGCACGCCGATTTATACATGTAAAGTCTATGACGCGAATTTGCACTTTTTGAGCACGCACCACGCGCTCCCTATCGACCCGATCGAGCTGAGACCCCTCAAAGGCACGTCGCGCATCCTTGATCTATGAGTTGTGCAAATTTCACCGGGCTAGGTGCAACGGTCTGGCCTGCAGTCCACGCAAAGCAGCACCAAGTCGGGACCTCGGTAACGGACAGACGCACCCTCCTCAAATAGTAATATAGATGGTTGGTATTGGTTGGTCATCATCTGTCAGCGATGGTGGCCCATTGCCATTACTGACTGGAACTGGCCATTTCTCGCCAGTAACTGCGAGAAGTGGTGATGTGAAGGTCATTTATAGTCAGAAATTGCCAGAATCGTCGTATAATTAGATAGTAGCTACAACAAACAACAAAACACATTTATTAGACATAAAATGGAAATAAGCAAATAGTCCAGGTGGTGGTGCAAAAGCTGATGCTTAAATCGAGGCACCACCACCTGGTAACGTAAACAGAATAAATGAATATGGTACAATCCAGGGCCGCGGAGAGTCAGGTCGGCTGCCGCGACGGTTTGCATTGATAAGCGGTGATAGCGGGCCGGCGCCAGTCCACCGAGACGGGGCTATATCAGTCTCGACTGGGTCCACGCCACGCTCGCTCGCGGTGAACAATACACCTGCACCGGTTCAGAGGCGTCTTCACTTCACAGCTAATACCTAATTAGTCACGTTAACTGATTGGCATCAAAGGAAAAGCATAAACTTATCCTTGTGAGTTACTAGTAAAGGCCGTAACTAAAACCAGTATAACGCCTTTTGGGGCGACTAACGGAGCGAGCGAGAGGGTGGGCCTTGCACGTGCGGAATTTCGAGGGGGTACCTCCAACTGACTTGTGCACGGCACTCTACTAACCGGTCTCTAGCGATGTGCCAAATTTGGACACAATCGGCCCAGCCGTTCTCGAGATCTGGAAGCGGCACCCTGCACGTGCAAAATGGGTCATAACTGACTTGTGCACGGCACCCTACTAACCGGTCCCTAACTGTGTACCAAATTTGAGCGCGATCGGTCGAGCCGTTCTCGAGATCTGGAAACGACCGCTGCACGTGCGCACGTGCAGCAGCACCCCAACTCTGGCACATGGATATGCAGTGCCTAGTGGGTGCCTACCTACATGCCAACTTTGAGCGCAATCGGCCCAGTAGTTACCGAGATATTGCAACAATTGCAAAACTGACACCTCTTCGTTTTGCACGTGGCACGTGCATAAGAGGTCACCCACATGCATCGGGAATAGTCCAATACTTGGTAGAAGGAATGAAGCTACCCTACAAAAATTACCGCGTGTAAATCGGTCAAGTGGTTGCTGAGATATAAGCCTCGCAAAAGCGTCCGCACGGCCGGCCGGCCGGCCGGCCGCTCATACTCAGAAATTTCCGTTAATCTAAGGAAAGACTACGCTCGCTTCGCTCGCTCCGTAATAACTCTGAAAGAAGTAATAAATAATAACTTTGGTTATTTTCGGTCGGTTGGCAAGTATGGACAGTTAGACATGTTTAGTAATCGCCAGTACATATAGGCCAGGTGTGGTCGCTTATAGACAGTAGGTAGGTAAGGTGATTTTTGTCGGTAATGTGAAACGCGTAGTACTCATTCATCCATGCACCCCTAAGTGAATATTGAAGTAATTTGCATATGACAACATCCCGCAAGACTGCGATTTGTTTTCCGGAAGTATTGTGCATTGTCCGAGATAAGACTGTGATTTGATTTCCGGATGCATTGTGCACTGTCTGAAAAAGGTCTGACAGGCGACAACGAGACATAAGGCCGGACGAGGAGAAAATATCAGGGATCATATGAAAACCACAGCGGGATGCAGATAACACAGAAAATGGATAAGACTACCGGATGACCTCAGCTCTACCTTGTTGGTCAGTCCGGTTGGCAAGGATTCAAAGCTACTTTCCAAAGCCTCTTTGTATAATTATCATGCAGATTAAGGCAAAAGAAAGTGCAAACAAACAGCAGAGTCAAATTGGCGAAGTATGGAACACACGTTGTTTACAGCTTACATGAGGTAATAAATCTCTAGAAGCGTGACTTGTACCTGGGGGACGTTTTCCCATTCTTCTTGCATCCAACTATCTTCAACAACCTACCACATCTCTTGGCCTGCTACCCCTCCCCCCCTCCATGACCACAATGAATATCTCATGAGGATTCGCCTAGACCAACATTGACCTATCCAGCTGGGTGACAGATGCTCCACCGTGGGGTATCCACCAGCAGACCTGTCCATGTCTGCGGCCTCAGCACACCTGGCCGTACCGAATGCGGCGAGACATCCGATACCCAAATGCCAGCCAAGGCCGCAACACAGCAGACGACCATGTGTGAAGGTAGCGACAGACAGGTGGTATGTCGCAGCCGTTTTCTACTCTGTACCGACACGATGACATTTAATTGAAGAAGCTGGTCTCGAGAAGGATTAACGCGATTAATGATGTTACTCTGACCAGAACTGAAAGCCGTAACAAAACAATGCCCACAAATAGCAGATCCGGAAATCAAACACCAAACTGGTTTTTGTTTTCTGCTCATAAAAATTGTGCACAACAAAACATCACATAACCGCATGTCTTCCTTTAAATACCTCATAGGTTTGTCCGAGAAAAAACATGCAATGGGCATGGCACATAATAGAGAAAGGGGATAATAACATAATGCAGCCTTTCGGCATTTCGAATGTAATGAATGCTTCAAGAAAGAAGACATTTGGTAAGCTGGTTTTTTTTTGTATCCACAAAAAGAATATCGGTAACTAGGTATATTCAACACAGATTATTTAAAAGAGTTAAACAATTCACTGCAGCTAATCTGTCGCACACCTCTATTACGCACCAGCCTGGATCCCTGACGCTGAAACGGCGTCAGCACCGGATGGACACTGCGTCGCAGCTCAATCCGACTCTGAGTTACGCTAATCCTAATGGCGCGCTGGCAGAACAATATATTACGCGGAGCAGCCGCCTATCTTTATCACCAGCCGCGAAACGCAGCGGCGCCCAAAGACAGCCACACTGATGACAAGGCTGCTATCTCTGAGATCATCTCCGAAACCGGATACCCTCTGGCCTCATTTTTAAAAGAATTTCTTCTCCGACTTTTGGTAGCCAGCGAAGTATATATTCCTGAGATGTGTTATCCCGTAATTCAACGTTTTTAGAAGGAATTTCGTATCTTTGTCTTGGGGACATGCTGTTCCATTATTCAGTTTTTTGAACGGTATATGCTTCACCTCTTGAGCAAACCACGGAGATGCACTTTTGCATTATTCAGTCCCCTTTCGTCCAGCATTTCATCATTGCGGATAGGGCTATAGGGTCTGCAAAACACGCGTGGTAGGAATGAACTCCTTGTAGCGATGAAAGCCGATTAATAAAATGAGACAGGACCAGTCTCATCACTCATCATGCTCTCTACTCTCGCCGTTCGCCGGGCCGACCCAACCACCCATCCGAACCCCGCCGTCACCGCGTACGCGCAGGAATGGTACGAACGCCGGCCACGCGTCTACAACAGGTTCGATTCGGAAGCCACACACGAGCCGGGTCCATTTGGCCGGCGTGATCGGCCGCCGCGCGGTCCAACATGCACAATCGGCAGCACGCGCTGTCTTCGGCTCCCCTGGACGATAATAAATCACTGAGCTGACCGGCGGTAATCCGCGGACAGTGGTCGCCGCGCTGCCCGACCACCGACAGATAAGCGCCGCGGCACGAGCCCGCCGGCGCGAGCGGGCACGCGATGCGGTACCTACAAGGGGTACGCGGTACACGGTACACACACGGGGTACACACATGGGGTACGCGGTGCACACGGGGTTCAGAAGAACAGTGAGAAGAACGCATTGGGTTCAGGCTTCACCTGAACGGCGAGGCCTCGAAGGTGAAGTAGACAAGGTGACACCGAGACGGTCGACACTTTTGGGCTTTGTAGTCGATGTCACAGAAATGCCGAATTTCCGCCGGGTATTCTAAAAATACCAATACCAAACCGGCATCAACTTAGTTTTATCACGGCTCTTCGAAGCTTCGAAATTGACGTCACTAACAACAAGCCTGTGTAGATGCAGATGAGTGCAGATATTCTCAGATTCTTCAGCGCATTAGAACGAAGCCAAAGTTGATTCTGCTAAAAATATCGTTCATTCTGACGAAAGAAAAGGAAAAAAAATGAAGCAAATCTATACACATTGTCATTCATGCTACTTTCACCTTGTTAAACTGTGACGTGGATGTTGCTGAATTAACAAGTAACTGTCGATCTTGCCTTCACGGAGATAATTAACTGGGTTCATAGGGAGATTTTCATTTTCATTCAAAACGGACCCGTCCGAGAGATTCTGGCTATCTGATAGCCCCAGCGCATCGCCGCCGGTCGTTCAGATTGGTAGGTTGGTCCCCCAGCCCTCCATATAGCTCATCCCAAACCACTACCGGACATCATTGAGAGAGACATGCCGCGATCGAGTACGGTCTTCAGCACCGTCCGGTCTGTACCGGGGTCGTGCCGTGGCCGGGCGTCCACCGGACGGTCCAATCTGCCGTTTGGTCGGCCATCCCACTTCTAGCGGAAGGCGGTTCCGAGGGCGGAGTCTTCGGACCGCGGACCGGCCTGGAACCGGCCCGTCTCTCCTCTGCTGCCGCCGGCACCGGGTCAGCGGGACACAGGCGGCGCCGACAGCAGCGGCAGTGACGTCCGGCGGCCCCCGGTGTTCAGAGCGGTACTCACGGCCCACCCGCGGTCACCAGGGGCGCCACTCACTCTCCGCTCGAGCTGCCAGACGCCCGGCTGGTACGGCGAGCAGGGTGTACAGCAAGGGTGGATCTTTTACCCCACGACAATCACACGCCGAGAAGTGCTAGCGAACAGTGTCGAGTCGCGCGAGTGGACAGGCGGAAGGTGTTGAGAAGTTGAAGCCACATACAGGTCACAGAGTTCCACTGAGCAGAGTATAGTGAGCAGCGGTGCCAAGTGACCGATTACTGCCAAGGACTGTCTGAGCTCACGCAATTGCTGAGGGTCATCTGACCAACTAGGAGGCACTGAGGACTGCCTGAGCGACGCGAGCTCGAGTCAACCGTCTGAGAGCCGACCCACGTCCCATTCTACGACGTGGACGGCCTCGTTCAGTGCTGTTCGCTGTGTGTAGGTGCGTGAGCAGCTTGGGAGTACCGACTGCTGGCTGCTAAACCCACGACATAGGCCTTCGGGGTCGGAAAATATCCCACGAGTGACGAAAAACGACAAAAAAACCACAACAAACGACGAACAGCAAACGACAAACGGCAAACGACGAGAGACGATGGACATACGGACTGTGCAACGGTTACTTGTGGTAAGTAGCAATGACAAGTCAAAAGTGATGCATGAACAAAACGGCAATCAACCTTGACGACCATCAACCGAATCTCATGCGGTGAAATGTATGCTTGAACATCAGGACAGAAAACGGGGAGTTTTTTCGGTGGAACACATGAAAGTTCGAGTAATAGGTACTGTGCTGCGAAATAGCATGTGCATATCCAATATCCATTATCCATGTTGATTAAAATAAAGTGAAAACTATTATCAATTATCGCGCATTATAGCATTTCGCATTACTAATCCGTTTAAAACAGTCGTAAAATGAAAGACAAACATAACAGATAACACCGAAAAACAAAACATGGAAGCTGATGCAATCTTAGGCTTAGGCTCATTGTACTGATCCGAGCCGGCTTTCTGGCTCTACACAATCGCTAGCCAGAAATCCGGTAAAGGCAACGTGAACGGACAGACAGTCGGGCAGAAAGACAGGCAGACAGGCGCCACATCAGCCTATCTCGCCTTTAGCGGTCTCCCATTCAGCCCTGCCCGGCGTTTCGAGGCATTCTACACAAAGAGTGCCCCAGTAAAACACAAGGGCACCTCTCGGCGAAGCGAAACTTCACGTGTTTCAGCATCTCTAAACGGAGGTCACGAGAGACACTGCCGACACGATCTGTCGGGTTTATTAACAGTGACACTTGACGAAGAGCAGCGGTGGAACGGGACCGCTATGAGCGGTTTAACGGCCAGCCCGGCACGAGATGGCGTCATCATCAACAGAATAATCACAAAGTGGAGTGCTGTGCTCAGTTCCACCTGCTTGCAGCCACTCCTAAACTCCAGCTACTGCCGGTTTCATAGTACTGCAACTTTCAAAGACAGGCAGCCAGGCGAACCAAAGCTGCTAGGAAGCCGGCACCTTGCTACGCTGAGCAGTGCTTTGAGGTATTTTTCTCACTTTGACCAAAAGTAAGTACCAAGAGAATCTGACGGCATGTGTAAATCCACTCTGGTAGCTCGCAACAAATACCGCTGCAAAAAGGGCATACCTATTTAAGTGCAAATCCATGTCCATGGTACTAAGCTAGAAAAAAGGAATTTACCGGCAAACTAGCATTGACATTATACACGTCCTACACAAATAAAGCAATGTCAGGAGAAGCATGTCCATATTTTATTTAGCTGTTTATGTACCTGAAAGCACACATACGCATGGGTCAGATAAAATTAATCCGATATCCCGCCCCATGGATCTCAAACCTAGATCATATTGGTTGATAGGCCAATACAATATCCATCATAAGATGATTCGTTGATATGTCACACAACAGCACACAGCTGACCTACAACAATTCGTCCCTCGAAACTAAAGGGAACCCCTCTTTTGCCGGCTGCACCCTCACCCACAAAGGAGCCGCAAAAATCGCGACTATAGGTACATTTACCATAAAAATACGGATTATGCGGCATGAACATCTGCCGGGCATTGTCGAACACGTTCCATTGCTGGGGCATTCCACGTCAAATCAAACACCGAAATCCGTCATCCCCTTCGATTTTTCTGAAAATTTGTAGGCAGACTGGGCATGGTTCAAAACTGAGTTACGTATAATATTTTCGAAATTTGATAAAGTATCGCTGAGATATAGGTCATCGAATGTAGCCAAAAATGCCACACATCAATTTTTTAAATGTCTATAACTCTGGTTCCTTTTCTGGTATCAAAATGATATTAACAGGGTCTTGTAGGCAATTGATAAGGCTTTGATTTTTAATTACAAAATTAAATTGAAGTGACCTTAAAATGCATTTGACCTTGAATTAAAACAGAAAAATTTAAATAGCAAAAAATACGTCACCTTCGATTCGGGTAATTTTTACATATTATGTCCGTCACAATGTTCCTAACCATCTGTGAAAAAATTGGAGTGGGCCATTCATAACTCTCGCGGCAAACGCCGTTTTCATGCATCAACATCACGCAACCGCGCGTGACCTTGAAAGACAGTCAAGCCATGCTTGCTTGTGTACACTTTCTGAAATGAATGATTGCTGATTAGTGATATCCCAAACTCTGCGAGAATGGAAATACATAGTCATCGTAGTCAAGCATTCAAGTTCCATAGTACAGGGTGACACAAAAAAAAAACGGTCATCATCAAATTTCGAATAACTTCGGAAGTTTTATTCAGATCATCACCAAACTTCGGCCACTTAAGGTCACACCTATGTAGCATACATCCACCAAGTTTCAAGTCTTCACTACGAATACTTTTAGTACAGTGTGTGTTTTACTGACGCTCCACAATGTGCTCCAGGTGAGCGCCACGGCGCTGCAGGGCGTAGGCACACTTGCATCCGGCGGGCAAAGTTGTCGATAACCCGATGGCTGTGCACTTTACAGAGTGCAATGGCCTCTGGAGACAGTGCTCAGGGGGTGTGCTACCCCTGAAACGTTATTCTTATCGGGTTATCGGCAACTTTGCCCGCCGGATGCAGGTGTGCCTACGCCCTGCAGCGCCGGGGCGCTCACCCGGAGCACATTGTGGAGCGTCAGTAAAACACACACTGTACTTAAAATATTCGTAGTTAAGACTTGAAACTTGGTGGATGTCTGCTACATAGGTGTGACCTAAAGTGGCCGAAGTTTGGTGATGATCTGAAAAAACTTCCGAAGTTATTCGAATTTTGGTGATGACCGCTTTTTTTGTGTCACCCTGTAAAAGTGTCTCAGGCAAACGGTATTTTGCGGTGAATTTTGAGCCGTGTGGAAATGCATCAGGAAGCCCAAAATTCAACGAAAACATTATCACGCAACGATATCTTCACGTCTTTTTATCTTCACTATACGAAAGAATATACATTTTTGAGTATGTATGGGGAATTTCTAGTTAATCCAATAATAAATATGGCAGTTAGAGACCTGCTAAGAGTAACATGTCGCCGTCTGAGGCGGGGTCGGCCGACGCGGGAAACGCAGCAATCACAATTTTGTGTTTACACGTTCATATTTCAATTGTTTACGAACCGATTTTCAAAATTCTCACACCATAATATTGCCTGTACATTTCTTAGTCTTTTCACAGAATTTGACGCGAATCGAACGTAATCAGCGGTAAGGAGCGCGATGTAAAGACGGAACCGTTCCGTTCCGTCCCGGCACAGTCTACAATTCAGGCGGCGGCTAGCGGTCGGCGCCGGCTGCCGAGTCGCCGCGGCGACAGGATGTTCACTTTACACCGCTTACTAGACCAGTTGTGAACCGATTTTCTTCTTGCTTGCACGATGAGATGTGCAATTCAATTTTGGACAGGTAGCTATAATTAATTTCGCATTAATACTATGAGATATTGGCGAAAAACAGGAGGGGTGGGGCGAAATCCACTCTTCCCCCTCCACTGCGCGTGCTAACATACGTTTGCATATGTGCCATTTTCTTCAAAACTTATGAATGGCCCACTCCAATTTTTTCACAGGTTGTTAAGAATATGGTAGGCAATAAAATCTATGAAAATTAGCTAAATCGAAGGTGACGTGTTTTTCGCTATTTCAATTTTTGTGCTTAAGAACAGAGTTAAGCAAATTTCAAGGTCATATATTGAAGTAGGTGTAATTCTAAACAAATGCTTAAGAAATTACCTAAACAGTAAGGTTTATTTCATTCAAATCAAACAGGTACAACCAAAGTTATGGTCGTTCAGAAATATAAAGATGCAACATTTTGTAAAAATTCGATGCCCTATATTTAGAAGACCTGTGGTCAGAATGTGCAAAAAACATGAATGTAATGTTCGGGGCGACACAGGAACTCGCTCACAAATTTATAATGAAATCGCTGATGGTAAGGTGCAAAACAGCCGATTTTTGTTCGATTTGACGTGGAATGCCCCTGCTGTAACATGGTATAAGTGAAAAAACGTTTCATAGGCAAAGCTAGTGGGACTGTCGTGCACCGAACAGAAAGATGGTGACCTTTGTGTTAACTCGTAAATACTTATCGACACAAATATCAGTGTTGAACGATGCCTAGTACCTAGTTCGGCAGACTAGGTCAGTTACACGGCGGTTTATTGATGTCGAAGCTGCAATAATGTCGGCGTCCGATAGGCTAGAGAAGTGCACGCAGCTTATTCTGAGCGCACGTAACTCATTCTAAAGGCACGCAATTTACTCCATTCCCTCCACATTTCAGACGCTTCTTCTACTCCTGGCTGTTCCTCAAACGGCCTACGGACAGCGTACTCTACTGGCGCGATTCTTCAACCGGGTCTACAGCATGTTCTCCAACCTGATCGGCGGCGAGCGGCTGTGTCCGGCCGGCGGCGGGCTCATTGACCTGGCCACACTGATACCGTGCGGGGCCGAGCTGGCGGACTGTCCAGCCAACCTGGCCTGCCAGAGGGTCACAACACTCTGCAGGAACACCCTCATCGAGGTCACGGTCAGTATACCTCGATATCCGCAGTGTATACCACCTCGGCAGGGTGGCAAATCTTGTGACCCTGTATAATCGGCTGGATCATTACGCGTTGACTCATTTATCGCCCGTCGTTGCACCTGACCCAAACTCGGCCACTATCGGCTGAGATAGACGGCCGCTGCTGGGAGATAAAGACGGCCTGTTCCACAGCTCTCTGGTCGCGTTGGCAGAGAAAGATAAGAGATATCGGGTCGGTACCGATATGTCACTTGACAGCGACCGTCCCGAGAAAACGCTTCTGGTGCCAATGGAAACAAAACGTTGATGACGATGAACAATAAAGACTCAAACATGCTGTCGTTAACAAATGAAACTGCTGAACTCTCCCTCGCTGTATCGCATTCCGTATAGCCCTCCCTTACATCAACTCACTCAAGCTTCGTTCTCTTTATGCCGCGTATCTTACGTAATTTCCTATGTGTTGTGCCCCTGACATCCATCCTCCGTGCCATGTCCCCGAGCGCCCTTCCTGTATTGTGCAGTTCAGACTTCAGACATCCTTCCCTTTTTACCAAACAGTGTTTTTGACAATCTTCACATGTGCAGCTCGTCTCTGACCTCCCTCATCACAAACCGTATCTGACCGCCCTTCCTCTCTCGCTGCCCACAGACCTCCGTGTGTATGCCCGTCCGTCGGCGCGGTCTCCGGTGCGACACGCACAGTGAGTGTGCCACCGGCTACTGCCAGCCCGGCACCGGCACCTGTGAGTTCCAGTCCTGCCGGCCTGGCGAGCTCTCCGTGCGGCTCGACAGCAGTTGCTACCGCTTCCAGATGGACACCGGACTGAGCTCGTACGCCGCCGCGCGCCGCCAGTGCCGCTCCAGCGAGCGGGGGCTCGGAAGGCTCGTGAGCATCAACAGCGCCGCCGAACAGGAGGCCGTGCGCTGGCTGCTGGCGCGCGCTCTGGTCACCGGTATAGCCAGCCGGCCCGTGTACCTCGGCCTGTCGGACGCGCGCCGCGAGGGCCGCTTCGAGTGGCAGGACGGCTCGCCGCTGCTCTTCTCGGCCTGGCGAGGAGGAACGCCCGTCACGGCCGGTAACACGGCCGACCGTGACTGTGCCGCCATGGATCCCACAGACGGCACATGGGCGGCCACCGACTGTGCCGCCTCGCGCGCCGCTGTCTGCGTTACACCGCTCGATCGGGTCTCTAGGCTGGCCTCCAGTGACGCATTTAACGCTGCGCTAAACGGCCTCCTGCCCAGTGACTTCCTGGGCAACGGATTCACCCTGTGATCGCCAGCGAAGGACGATGGACAAAGGATTCACTCTGTAACTCTTCGATGTAGAACGATGAACAACGGGTTTACCGTGTGATCGACGACGAAAGGACAACAGATAAAGGGTCCAGTGTCTCGCCGATGTAGAACAATTGACAACGTGTTGCCGCTGTGTCGGGCGGCGGTAGACAGTGGGTGGTATTGTGGCTTGCGTTGTGCAAAGGACATAGACCGACGGTTGAAAGAGGACCGTGGATCTAAGCGGTGGCGCCACCTGCGTCAGGCCACGGCCAAGACGGACAAACGCGCTGGTCATCGTTCGTGCCAGTAATTGGGACCTGATACGGGTCGGTACGGCTGGAGGCCCGCATATAGGGCGAGCTTCGCTGAGTGAGATTATAGAGTAGATCATGGTAAAACCGCATGATAATGTGTCATGACAGAACAGCATTTGCGCGTCGAAAGCTCAAATGAGATTAACTATGCTTAATGACTGCAGCAACTTCCTCTGATCAGCACTCCTCTTATTGGAATTAGTTCACTTAGCTAAGGCATTGTCCGTACCGTACGGCTTTCGTCTTACAGCATGACGTTTTCCACCCCGTAAAATATCCTCGCTCGCCTGGTATAACGTCATACAGCCGGTGCACATGTGTGCTCTCCGGACAGGCATGTGGTGCTATTGTGAGTCGCATGTGACAGTCCGCCCACGTTCCACCCCCGCCCCCTCTTCCCCGCACCACGCCGACGCGAGGCACTAAGGTCACAGGTGGCTCCGAGTTACTGTCTGGTCCCAGGAGGAACTGCTATATCTGTACTTGCAATACGGTGCCATTTGGGAATGCGCTAAAACCCAAATTATGGAAATAAAGGTGGGTGGTAACTGGTAAATGTTCCCACTTGACCGCGATGCGGACTGGTCACGTTCAAGATGCCAACAGACGCTCAAAACTTGTCCGGGGAAAGTTGGTAAACGGGTTATTTCCGAATCGGCCGAGTGAACTTTAGGCGCACGGACTTCGCTGCCAGTGAAGACTGTTGAATGTGTTCAGAGACCCATTAGTCGCTCTTGTTGAACGCCTAGGGTCTGTAATGTATAGGAAGTGTGGTTAAAATGTTTAATTTATTTAAGATATTGTATATGATAAACAGCATGTCAGATATTATCCGTGAGTGTTGTTATACTCCACTTCGCTGCCCCAAGGTAGGCACATCATTCACACCTCCATAAATAACGCGGATTCGCGGAGGCCAACCGCCCCTCACTCACGTGTGCTTTAGATTACCGCCGTGTAGCCTGAAGCGCCGGTATCTGCTGGAGCTGCCATACCGGTAGAGCCTCTCTGAACCGTTCGTGTCCGGTTACAGACACCGCTCACCGAGCCGAGAGTGACAAGCCGGCCGGACAGCCAGCGCTGCGAGCGCCGATTTTACAGAATAATGGTCCGACCTGTCATTGCCGGCGTGTGTGAGCGGTGCAGAGGAGAATCGTTCGTCAGTGAGATATGAACTGCTGTTTCCGAAAATAGAGTCAAGCCGTCGCCGACTTGTCATGTTTCCAGTGGTCTGAACGGAAGAGATGATGGATGATCAGCAGCATGTGAGATGTGTGGGTATGCCATAGGAGGCATTGGGCGGAAAATCAACACCACGCGATTCCCAAAAACAATTTCGCTCAGTTCAATACGAAACAAGCATCTGAGCAAAAATAAATACGCTGCCTCCATCTTCACAGGCATTTTCTCAATCAGTCACTTACAAAAACAAAATCGAACACATTGTCACCGAGTCTTATGGAACATAACAGATGTTAGCGGCTGGACAGGGACGGCAAACATGACACCACTACGACAGACAATATGATTATCCAATATCCAAGGCTGTCTGTCTTCGATAAACACTCTCGAGAAGTCTGGTCGTACTTCGGTACTTGCTCGTCAGTGTGAGAGGCTATTTATCTAACCTGTACTCACAACACAAGCACAAACGCTTGTCTCTAGAACTGACCAAAAGCTTATGGACGTTTTCAGTGGACAGAAGTTAATCGCCAAAAGCGGATGCCCCCTGACCTACCGGACCTGTAATTGACAAAAACATGATGAACGATGGAACTGCGATGCAATGCACATCCGGTCGAGGAATCATAGGTCCGGCTAAAAATGAACGATGGTTGTGAGCTTCTGTGAAAGCTACGACGCAAGCTTGTCAGATAGCACTGATGTAACATTTCCAGCTTGCTTTCAATGTTGCTCACTCAGTTTTCCATGATTTATATGGGAACAGACATGTCTTGGCGCAAAATTTACCACTGAGTTTACGCTGCAGCCAAGTAGCACATCATGCTCGTTAGGCAAATGCACGAGACGCTCAATAATCACGAAAATGTTCGATCAAAACCTTTAGAGCCTGTCAACATCAATTCATCCATTATACCAACCCCAAATGGGCTCACCAGCTGTGCAGCTAAATTGAAACAGCGAGACTGCAGCGACAGCTGGCTATCCCCATCTCCCCAGTCCAGTCCAGCCCAGCCCACAGTGTCCACCATCAGGGTACTCACCGATCACATATTCGAGGATCAGGTTCCAGCCGATCACAAACGCCACGAACTCGCCCACACAGACGTAGCTGTAGACGTAGGCAGAGCCGGCCTTCGGTACGCGAGCGGCAAACTCGGCGTAACACAGCGCTGAAATAGAGTGGAGCGCGTCAGGAGAGGGAGGGGTACCTCAGGGGGAGCGAGGGAGCACGGCACGGAGGATCGGGGAGGTTGGGAGATTAAATACACGACACGGAAGATCGGGACACAATCGGATGGCGGGGTTACACTGGAGGGGATGAGTGCGATCAGTGTATTGGCTATGCGCCCTAAACCAAGAAGAAGAAGAAGAAGAAGAAGCAGTGAATTGGAACTTGTGGCGTCAGTAGGAGGTTACTATAAGTAAAGTAATCTTGGGAGGTTACTACGTTTGGACCAGGTGGCCACGGCGATGGCGGTGGTGTGGCAGTGCTCAAGTTGGCAAACATAAATTTGCATTAACGAATTTATGCTTTGAACCAATCGTTTTCTTTTTTGCGGGCATGTCCATGAGACTACAAACAAACTATCACGTGGAAACAGGTGAGAGGACTACCCGTTTCTGCTTTTACAGACACCATTTCTGTAGCTGGCGGTGCGGTTGTGTAAGTTGGATTGCTGTTTTATGTATAAAAGTGTTTTGAGTTACAAGTCAACACATCCCAGAGGCTCAGTAAGTCATCAAAGCTCAATAGCTTATCCACAGACCCTGCCCCGGTATCACCCTCCTCTCCGCAGCCTGGTCAGCTGATCACTGATAGTGACGTCACAGAGGGGCCTATCGGCCGCCGGGGCCGCCCAGCCACCTGTGGTGAGACAGCGGGGGCCTATCTGAGCCGAGAGAGGGAGCGGCCGTCGCCCACCTCCCGGTCGAGTCACGGGATCTTGCGCGGTACTAAAATCAGCGGCCCTCTGCACTAAGCCGGACAACGTTTATATGTATATATGACCTTAGACACACATAGGCTGAGATCAGGACAGTCCGGCACTAGATAGGTACATGTTAATCTTTACGAGCCCCCGCCGAGTCACGCGACCTTGCAGTGTGCAGTGCACGGCACTAACATCAGCATTTTCTTCTACTGTGAAGCCTGCCTTCCTTCAAAGGTCAACCCTGCCAGCCCTCCGAAGCGAAGCACAGCCCCATCACAAAAGCTATATCACATGTTTGAGAGTGACTGAGGCAGAAGAGGAGGGCGGGGTGGGGGAGTAGATATCATCACGTGCCCGAACGATATCAGACAAACTTACGCACGACCACCCACTCTGCGCGTGTTTTGTTCGGAGTCAACATCGATAGGTTACACGATAACATCGGTTCTTAAAACCTCTCTCGGGGTTCTATCACCAAAAACTTAGAGGTCTAGTATCCCAGGAGGCCCAGTGAATTTTCTCCCCAGCGTTACCACCTGGGTGTGCCACTGACCGCTCACCGGCCACGCAGTGCCCATTCCCACCCAGTAAGTCGGAGCTGATCAAACAGTAAATTGGGGGAGCATCACACGGTTATCAGTCGGGGCTCGACATTCTGGCGACACCCCCGGCTGCTCGATACAGCGAATGTGGTTTGTCGATGTGAACAAGTGTTCACATCGCTATAAATTCCTACAGGTGTTGCGACTGCCGCGCACCGCTGAAGTGAAAATACGAGATATTCGACGTGATTTTCAACGATCAAGAGACACTTCGGCACTTTCGGCAATTATCTTCTTACGGCATTTGGTTACGTAAACGTACATAATTAAACCGGTGCTGGTAAACACGTATCCGAACTGACGAATCCTGGGGAGGTAAATAGACGATAAACCGAAATGCGTAAAAACCATTTCGCGTATAATGACCGTTTCATGTATCTGGACTTCAGCTAGTACTGCCAAATCCTATTTACGCTATTTATAAGGCTGGGTTCAAGACCCAATGCCGCAAATAGGAAAGCAGAGCACCTTCGAAATGCTGCTGGAGTGTGCTGCTCTAAGATCAATCATCCCACTTATCTTTTTCACCCCGTGAGGAGCCATGGAAGTCTCTCCTCCCACTCAGCTTTCGATGGCAATCTTATCGGCCTTTGTCGTAAAACCCTATCCCCCGGCACCTTTGCCAATCGCAGCTCTTCACGCCCGTCCTTGACCAGTCAGCGACTGCGACAGCTGTACGGGGTTGGCAACAACCGACTCATTCCAGTAGGTACCCGTCTTAGAGCTACATCTACATACAGCTGACGCAAGAATCTAACGGTTGAACAGGCTTACATAGAAAAGAAATGGCACAACAACCTAGCACGTACTCGCCTGGCTTCTGATCGTTTCGGGCCAGCCTTTCCTTCCCCGCTGCTCCTTCACATAGCCCTTTACAAACTTACCACGAACAGGGAGGCGTGGCGACCACAGTCAATAAGCTCATATGCCCTCCACCCCCAGCCCCTTCACTTACCGGCGAACAGTGAGGCGATGGCAGCCACGAGGAACGAGATCACCACGGCCGGGCCGGCCTCAGTTTTCGCCACATCGCCGGCCAGCACGTAGATACCCAGTCCGAGCGTGGATCCGACCGCCAGACAGCACAGGTCTACCAGGCCGAGCACGCGCGCCAGCGAGGTATCGGCCATGTGGTCCTCCTCCACGGCCTTGCGACGCATCAGCGTCGACATCAGGCCTCCGGAGGCCATGACGGCAGCCGGGCGGACGAGCGGCGGCGGGCGGCGGACGGAGCGGGGCGGACTGACACCTCAGCGGCACCACGGAGCGACTGCGGCCGCCCGCCGGACCGCCACCGGGCCGCTCATAGATAACCGCCGACAATCAGAGGGCAGAGGCGGGCGACGACCACCTGTCGGGGACGGACGGGCACGGCGCTGGTCACAGAGGGGCGCAGTACGGGACATGGTGTAATCGAGAGCATTGGAGTAATCGTGTCGCTTTGTTTTGACCCTCGCAATAAAATAGAATCTTTTTTAAATATTGAGAAGGCATCGATTGAGCATTCCCTCATTTTCCTTCTAAAGATAAAAAAGATAAAGATATCTAAAGAGTGTCACGCATAACCGGAAAGCCGATAAACTTTCAATGTCCTCCAGGCTATCAATTTACACGTCCTTCCCCGCAAATTCCATGACACTAGATCAAATGACCTTGACCGGCACACCTACTGGGACTGGGGAGGAGGGGGTTATCCGTCTCCTTATCGTAGGTTTTTCGTTTTAGTGGAAAACCGCAGCGCGCATTGCCACAAAATTTGATACGACTTTTCCCTCACCAATTTTGTACTTTGAATGCAAATTATGATCTCGCATATTCAAAAGTCAAGTCACCAGGTCACTTTGGATGACCCAACCTCAACTAACTTTTTTGCAATTTTGTCACTGTGTCAGAGCCACAGTAGACGACCGAGCTCTTTGAAAGTTGCAGGATGTACCCAATAAGGCTATAAGTAGGTATAGGTACCTACAAGTTGTTTATTATATATCTCAGAGTTTTCTATCATTGGCCAAAGCTCAGGTCAATTTATTGACCTCTTCCTTGTAAGTCAATGGGGGGGGGGGGGGAGGGAATCAAATGCCTTATTTTTTAGTCCATTGAAACCAAACCTAGCCTAACCCAACCTTATCAAACCTAACCAAACTTTGGGGAAAATCGCCCCTAGCCCCTGGGCTCCAAATTGAATAAAAACCACACCATGTTGTCACAAACCATATGTCTAGAAAAGTGTCCATACCATCACTTACCTCTAAAAAAGGCAAATTATCAGCAGAAATGCCAAAAGCTAACCAAACCTTATGAAGCCTTATATCAAATATTACCCACCTTCTACCACACTGGTTGAGTACAACTTATAAGTGTTTGCGTATTAGTACATCAATGCATTGTGTCATTTTATCAAGCTAAAAGGATGTGTTCTTTCCTTAGCTTTTATCTTTAGAATTCCTGCAACCTGCAGTTCTGAGAGGGTGCTAAAGGCTTGCAAAGCCC